GAAATATAAATTTGAGGGTGTTTCTCTTCCATGTTTATATTTCTTTAAAACTACAATAATTTTTTGGTTTTTAGGGATAGGGTCTCACTTTGTAGTGCAGGCTGGGTTTGAACTCACTAGGTAGCTCAGCCTGTTCTCAAACTCATGGCAATCCTCTTGCCTCAGCCTCCTGAGTGCTGGGATTACAGGTGTGTAACACCTAGACTGGCCTAAAACTTTAACTGTTAAGCAGAAAAGTTTAATATTTGTGGGTTACTCATACTTTACAGAAATCAGCCAGGCCTCTTGCTTTTATAGGGACTATACCACCATGATACATTTGTGTGGTATGTCCAGCTGGTTAATAAATATGAAAAACAATTCTGTATAAGTACTGCATGCTAACTGATTGCACCACTGGAGCTCCTGAAAACAGTTCTGATTGCATAATATGTCTTATTTTAGAAAACAAAAAAGTACACAGGATAAAAATAGTCCTTTTGTAATCCTTCTGCCCACTTAAAAAATAATGTGTGCAGGCTAGGGATTTAGCTTAGTGGTTCTGGTGCCTGCCTTGAAAGCGCAAGGTCCCAAGTTCAATCCCCAGTACAAAAAAAAAAAAAAGAAAGAAAGAAAAAAATAATGTGTGTATATATCTGTGCATATGTGTATGTGTGTGTATATTATAGACACTTTTTAGTCAATTGCTTTTTTCACTTTATATATAGTGAACATTTTTCTTGTCAGTAAAATATTTTATCTTGGGCTGGGGATATAGTTCAATGGTTTCACCGCCTGCCTCAAAAGCGCAAGGTCCCAAGTTCGATCCCCGGTACCAAAAAAAAATTATCTCATGTTTTGTAATAGTGATATATGTAGTATTCCATTTAATAGAAAGGTCATGTTTAATTTAGCCAGTGCTTTTTTTTTTTTTTTTGGTACCGGGGATTGAACTTGGGACCTTGTGCTTGGGCAGCAGGCGCCGAAACCACTGAGCTAAATCCCTGGCCCCTAGCCAGTGCTTTTATATAGTAACCATCTTCACAGTTGAGGCTTGTGAAGCCCCCCTTTTCTCAGTGGTCCTGTATTTTTGCTGTCTGCTGAACACAGAAATATCAGGGATCCATACCAGCTTCTTCTTGCTAAAAGTACTCAGGATCTTGATACCCGGATCCAGTCACTTGTTAAAAAGTAAATTGAAATCATCACCTAGATAGAATTGATCTGTTGAAGCTAAAAAATCAAGGCTTTCAAGTTATTTGAGAAGCCCAGAAGGAAAATGTTATGTTATAGGGCTTTGTAGCCACCATTCTCACAGCTTAGTGCAAGAGTGTGGGGAATGTTTTCACAGAAGGGTTTCTCTTTTTGAGATTATTTTTCAGATAAAGGAGGCTTGTTTAATTCAGGAAGAGTTATTTCATAGGAAATTAAATCTTTGTAAATCCGCTATCACATTTCCACACTTGCCAGTTCTCTCGCAAATGATGGCTTTCAAATGGTTTGAGAGGGTTTCTTAAAAGCAAATAATTCTGCATTTTATACATATTTATCTTTAAATTTTTTTTTAGTATATGTGCTGCTGAAGCGAGCACTCTTATTTTTGAATAAATAAAAATCTCTTAGGTAAAAGACTTGTGTTTCCCCTTTGTATTAGTATCTGGATGATATACTGGATGATATTACTGTTTCTCAAACTGAGAATGGTAAATTACTTGTGATTTTTTAAAACAATTTTACTTGGTGCAAATGTTTTCTGGAAAGAACTTAAAAAATACAACTAGTTCTGCTGGCCAGGCACTGGAGAGTTGCTGCTGCTTAGAGATCAGTAATTGTAACATCTTGGTTTGTAATCCTCAATGGTGTCTAATCATGTCATGTGCTTGGGAACCAGGAAAGAATTTTCTTTTCAAGTCTTAGAGCATCAGTTTTTCCAACATTGATCAAAGGTTGGAAAACTAGTATTATATACATAGCCAGGGTATTCATAACTGTCTACATTCTTAATCTTTTGGCTATTTGGTTGAAATATATCTACGCCTCTTAAATATTGAAAGCATAATATCCTTTAACCTACAACTGCAGAGTTAAAATGAATTTTATGTGAAATATTTAGTTGTGGACCACATCTTCAGCTTTTTATATGCCACAGTGGTCTTGTTTTTTTCCCCTTCCATTGTCTGATAGTGAGGTCATTTTCAGTCCTCTGAGAAATTCTATTCCCAGCCAGATGCGGCTCATATATTAAAAGTAGCACCTGTGGCTAATATCACAGCAGCTTACCATAAATTTACATGGTAACTAGGATTATATCTGTCAAGACTGTTAAAAAACATCTAGATTTAATTTGATTTCCAGTATTGTAGAGGGTATCCAACATTTTGCTTCATAACTGTATTTTAAAAGTTAAAAATCACTCCATTGTTAAGTTTTATAGCACTCCTAGTGCCCATTAAGTTGATTTGTTCAATGGAGGTCAGAGTAAAGCAACTTGGCTACATTAAGATCGGAAACCAACCCATTTGTGACAAATTTAGTCCTTTCGTGTGAATCTTCTCAGCGTCTCTGCACTGATTGGATTCAGGTGTAGCTTATGTCAGTAGCATTTAACCTCAAAAGAATGAGTGGTGTGATTGGGTTGTTGTAAATTATGAGGCATTTTGCCTTTGGTTGTTTAAATGTAACTGTTGACTCTGCTGCCCATGCCTGACTGCTCCACCATCTGTCTATACCAGAGTAGTATGGTTTTAGAGACATCTTAGAAAATTAGGGAACATGCCCTTATCCTTTTTCCTCCTTTATGTAACCCTTCCTGAATTGCTCTATGACCCATTATCCTTTGAGTCATCTCCCATATGTTGATTTGCACACCTGCAGTTATAAAATTATTTTGGGGTATCACTCTATCATATTGTTCACCAACTTTCCATCATTTATGAATACAGTAATGATTCACTGTAAATCAAAATAATTTACAAGTTACAGAGAATCTGCTCTTACAATCGAGTTGAATGATGAATTTCTTTGGTGTCCTCCCATTTCATGTGGTTTCTTAAAAAGAAACTGGTAATATATTTCTGTTTGCAAAAATTAATAGTCCAGAACTGAGTTAAAGGTTAAATTCAATCTAAGCATTTTGTTGTTTTAAAATATGTAAACAAATATAAGCCAATTAAGAAATAAGCAAAGTCTGTTTCTTAATTAGGCATTTTAATTGTCTTGGCAGTAATCTTGCTCCTGAACAAGACAGTGGGAATGTTAAATGTTGGCACTGAGGTTAGGGCAATGTGTGGCTCCTCAGCACAAATATCCTCAAACTTAAGTATATATGTCTGCTTTAAATTAGAATCAGCATGGAAGTACTGTTTTGTTGATCATCTTTCTAGAAGGAATTTTCTAAGTTTTTTGGCCTAAGTCTCACCAAAGAAGTAGAACAGCAGCCAAAATTATTATGTTGAAAAGATTGTAGCAATGGAAAAAATGAGTAGGGTAGTGAAGATAAAATGGTAATTTAGGGTTACTAGGTATTATTAATCACTTAACAGAAAATATCATTAATGATCAGTTTTGGAACCTTGTAAAACTTTTTTTTTTAGTATGGAGGATTGAACCTAGGGGTTCATACATGTCAGGCAAGTACTCTACCACTGAACTTCATCCCTAGCCCCGTAAAACATTTTTTTTTCAAAGAATTATGACATCTCTTTGTGTTTCTAGTTAATTAGATGCCCTCCTTGTGTATTTGGATGACTGATGCAGTTTCTACTTGGCTGTCAGTGGAGAGGAGGGGTGAAAACATAAAATAGATACACAGTGTCTCTCAGCCCTTCTTGCTTGTTTTTTTCTCTGCCTCCTTTATTTCTTTATAGATCTTCATGGTTGACCTTCCTGCCCTCTCCCCCACATTGTAATCTCCTTGAGGGGCAGCCAATGTGACCCAGGCCTAGAGCCCAGGCAGGTATGTGGTACAGTTATTAACAGATTAATAATTATGAGTATCACGTACTTTCAGGAGCAGACTATTGGGAAGATTCTGGAGTTTCCAAGTACACTGAAGTTTTCAGATAATGTACAGAGAGCAGAAATTTAAGAAACTGTCAACTTGTTTTGCTGACCAGGATTCTTTTTTTCCTCAGTCATCCATTGGAGTTGGAAGCAATTGTATCATTTTGTTTCTGAAGATACCAGTTGATGCTCCCAAGAGAACAGAAATCATGGAGTTGTTATATTGTGTTTTAGCCTGGGAGCTCATCTGTGTAGTGATCAAAGACATAACCTTAGAAGGTTGGCTTTGAAAACTGAAATAAAAGTTATTTTAAAAGACCTGCTTATTTTTAGAGAGAAGCATTTATTTCCCTACAACCCAGAAAAGAGTTAAATCCTAAAATAATTATTGAAGTGCCCAGTGCCAGCTTTTTATCATTCACTGATGTCATATTACTGTAAGTGGTTTAGAGTAAGAGAAGTGGCCATAATTTAAGGCTAGGTAGACCAATGTTATAGTACTAAATAGAGATGAAATGCTTTAGCGTGCATTGACTTATAAGGTAATATTTAGTTTGGTTCTTTCATAAATAACATTCCATGTTGAAAAATGAAAACTGTAGTATTAACTGCATTTTATTTAGAATTTTCTTTTAAGCCATGCAGAATTCTATTGTGTAATTGGTTTTTCAGATTATTGTGTAAGAGTAAAGTATATATTTCTTCTAATGAGATCCTTATTTGGCAAAATTTAGCCGTTACAGTTGCTATTGCATGAACAAACATATATCCGTTTTGTTTTTTTTTAAATTTTCATTCTCTCCACATTTGTTTCTCAAATATATGCAACATTTCTTCTAAATTATTAAAAATGAGGATTTTTTTGAGAAATAAGTTATTTTGTTATATTGAGACCGTGTTACAGATCTAATATTTCAATATTCTAGGGCTATAATTAAGAATGGATTCTGCTGGTAAATGTTGAGAAGAGGCAAAGAAGGAAGTTACAATACATTGCCTATTTACCAATTAACCATTACCTGCCAAAAGCACATCAGACCCACACAGCGGACATCCGCTAATCCAGTGGTTAGCCGTTCCGGGCTCTAATGCACACTGTTTTACACGTTAACGGTTTTGAAGTTCCAGGGCAAAGCTGACCTTTCACATGTGCTCCGCTCACAGTAGGAATCTCCACTCACTGCTTCCTGTCAGAATGGATTATAGTGACACAGCCCAGGGCTCACTTTGGCTGCAATTAAGTTTTTGATCAGAATTATTTCATTCACAAACAATCACATTTGTTAAAATGTTACATCTGCCCTGAGAACCACTGGCAGCCTCTCAGTTTATCAGTGTGATGTGGGTGTAATTCTTCATTTGTTTTTCATAAAATGGCAAGACATCTTATGTATGTTATTTAATTTTTTTCTTTTACTGGTTTCTGCCTTTCATTTCGTTGGGTTTGGAAGGAAACTATGTCCTGAAATTAGTACAAAGCTGCTTGAAAACTTTGGGAATTTGAATGAAATTGTTTTTGGTGCAGAGCAAAATTATCCAATTGGGAGCCAAGATTCAAATATTATATCCAAAAATTGTTAGTGGTGGTTCTGTTTCTCACATGAGGAAAAATTTTAGCTTTGTGAGTATAGGGTTTGAGGTTTTGATTCTTGGTCTGCAGTTCCTGTAGTCTCCGTGCCACAGTGTTGCTGCCTTTCAGCACTGATCCTAATGCACATCTCCAGATCATCACTGCTGCCATGGACTTTGGTGCCAGAAGTGAAGCCCGCATTGGCTTCCTTAGGCTCACCACCTTTGGGTCTTTGCTTTCAAAAGTCATTTCCTCGCTAAGAAGTGGCAGCAGAGATTTATTAAAGGAGCTTTTTTGCTGACTGACCATTTTCTGCCAATAAAATAATGTGGGTATCAGTGGAACTCTTGAGTTTTATGGGTGATCTGACAAGGCTATCATCTCACCCTTTTGTGACCCCATCCATTTTGAAGAAGAGTCTGTCTGCTTCATAGTATTGTATGTTGGGTGGGATACTTAGGGGGCACAAGATTAGAGTTTGAATTGAGTGTGACTTAAAATGGAAAATAACCTTTGACTTAGTTTTGTGTGCGCATGGAGTCTGGGCAGCTAGTGCTGAGGTGGTAGTGGGAACGGGGGAAGGATTAGGGTTAGGAGGACATGAGGCTGAAAATGCTTGAATGCTGCCTGAAAGGTTCACAAATTTAAAAAATATATTTGTGTATATACATATATATGTATATATGTAGTATATATCTCTATTAAAGTAATTTATGACCAGATTTTAAAATATTGCATTAAAACCTAAGCCATTTCCCATTTGCTTTGATGTAACCAACTCATTTATTACTAACCCATAAAATTATAAGTGGCAAAGAAAGGCATTGCACCAAAAAAACTATTTAGCTATAATTTTAAGCTTTTAAAAGGGCCTAGTTACACATCTAAAGTCCAGAGGGTTTATTTAAATGGAATAATATAAGTACAGGCTACATTACCATAACTTTCATTTTCCTTTTTCAGATGTGTGAGCAAATTTTTCTTAAATCCATTATTATAATTGTGTTTTTGCTCTTTTCAAAAATATCATATCTGGAATTTCCCTGGCCATATTTACTTTGTTTTTGTTTGTTTCTGAGGCAAGGATCTCAGAGTGTTGCTCAGGTAGGCCTTGAATTCCTGGGCTCAAACAATCCTTCTACCACAACCTTCTGAGTAGCTGGGGTTACAATATGGTGCCACCACACCCAGCTTCATATTTACTGTTTAAAGAAAATGTATTTAAAGAAAATAATAGAGTATTAAATTTTGTGAGGAAACTGTACCCTGCAACCTTAAGTATGAAGTGCCTGGCATCTTTTAGTATTGCCAGGCAGAATTTGTAACTTTTTCTTCTTGTGGTCCTGGGGATTGAACCCAGGACCTTTACACTGAGCTACATCCCTGGCCCTCCTTGTTTTTGAGACGGAGTTTTGCTAACTTGTCCAAATTAGGCTGGAATTTACGATTCTACTGCTTCAGCCTCTTGGAGTGCTGGGATTGTAGGTTTGTGACACCACACTCGGCTTAGAATTTGTAACTTTTTATTAAAAGTTAATGTAGGGCCGGGGATTTAGCTCAGTGGTTTCGCCGCCTGCTGCGCAAGCGCAAGGACCCAAGTTCCATCTCCAGTACCAAAAAAAAAAAAAAAAAAAGTTAATGTAGCCATTTTCTTAGTTTCAGGTTTTGTTGATTTGAGCTTCTGGAATTTTCAAAAGTTAACTCAATGTTAAACCCATGTTAATGTGTATGGGGCATCTTCTGGTTCATAACAAGAACCTTCAACATCTTTGGAGGGTGTTTTTAGGGAAATTTGAGGCAGCCAGAAGAAAGAATAGTGCAGAGGGCCACAGTCTCTGCAAAACAGCAGAGAAAACTACCATCTTCTGCAGTTCTCAGCATGTATAGACAAAGTCTTCAGGCCTAAACCTTAAATGCATCTAAAGAAGGCACAGCCTTCTGTGTACAGTGAGCAGCAGCTTCTCATGAAATATACAAAGGAGACTGGAAAGACAGAGACAGACATCTGTGACTTGGGTTCTTTCTCATAGCATAAGAAACTAGAAGATGAGTTGGACACTGGACCACCTTAAAATTTTACTGGTTTGTGAAAATACTTCTGAGGTCCTAAATAGGTCCTTTATGCCAGACAGAACTCCAGATTCTCTCCCAACTATCCTGAAAAACAAACCCTCACTTCTTAAACAGTATGATTGCTGGCTTAGGGACACCCTACATTTACTATAAGAAGAATCTTTTTCGTAAATCACCATGGAATATAGCACTTTTCTCCTTATGTTGGTCACACAGTGGAAGAAACCCCACTGGTCACTGGTCTACCCCTTCTTCATATGAAGAGGAAGCAGAGGCTGAGAGGGAGAAGTAACTATCCAAGGTAAGAGAGCTCAGCCTGTCCCATCGTAATATTCTCCCTTCTCAGTCTGTGGGATTCCTTTAATCTCAGGATTACTTGGGAACTTTTCCATTGCATTCTGCACAGGCCCAGAGAGATTTAAAGTTAAAGCAGAATGCCAGTTTTGTGAAAAAAAAATTCAAATTCTAAAAATTGTCAGGCATTCTTTTCTCACCCTTGGTAATTTCAGCCAGGTAACTACAGCACCCACTGCCAGCTCCAACCCTGCTGCTCTCCTGAGCCATGGTTCTGGATTGTACATTTTTTCAGAACCACCTCAATTTATTTCTGACCTTATGCCTACTCCTCGTAGTCACAGTGCAGGGTATTTTTTTCTTTTATTAAAAACCTATTTTTATGACTTGCCATAGTTCCCAGTGTTTTAAGAAAGAATGCATCTCAGCACCCCAAGGTAGGAATGGTGGTAAGATTAGGCAGACAAAGACGGTAACAGAGACTTTGGCCTCATTATGAAATTCTCCAGAGATCACAATTTGAAAATGTAAGAGATGAGTCATTTCAGAGCAGTACTATGTCCTTTGAGCACTAAGGACAGAAATACATAAAGCTGTTTTGCAGTATAACTCCTTGGCCTTCTCACATTCTCTGTGAGTGGCTTTATTGCTGACAAAGACAGGAGGAGCAAGTGTGGAGATTGGGTGGCATGTTCGCAGTCACATGAGTGGCTGGAGGTATTTTGAGTCCATGAACTTGGTCCTCTAACAAGTCTAGTCCAGGGATTTTAACCACAGAATATTGCCTGGATGTTGGAGGGTATACTGGTAGTGTCACTGCTGGTTCAATTTTGGTGGGTAGATTATTTTTCCAAGAGGTTTAATTCTTATTGTTTTGGTACAGTAGACTATTAATAATTCAAATAATTGATTGTTTAATAGATGCTTTGCTAAAGAAGACTATCATATTATCTAATGTTTTCACCGGGCATTGAAAAAAAGGATGTAAAAAGGCTTCTCATTTATTCCATAAACCCCTGATTGTGCAATTACACTTAAAAGTTTGATCCTGGGCCGGGGATTTAGCTCAGTGGTTCTGCCGCCTGCCTTGCAAGCACAAGGTCCTGAGTTTGATCCCCAGTACCAAAAAAAAAGTTTGATCCTGAAACTCTGCAATGTATACTGATGGAGAGTTCAAAGAATCTTTATGTTCAGAAGGCCTGACTTTAAAAGATGTATTTGGTATACATGTTTCTATTCTACTTGATTGAATCATTTACATGATACAGTTTCTAAAAGAGAGTTAGCCACTTTGTGTGAGATTGTGCAGCTTCTAAAAGTAAGTAAAACCATGAAACGCCATGGAAAATGAGTAGGCTGTTTTGTTATACAATGGTTTGGTTTAGGATACACAAATGAATGTTATAACAATTGTGGGGAAGAAAGCATAGAAAAAAGATATATAATAGCTCTTTTCCTTTTTCTAAGCCTTCCATAATGCTTTATGTTTCTCCTGTAATTAAAATTTTAAAGCAAAAATTATGTGAAACTTATTGTAATTCACTTTTAGATATAAGAAAAAATTGAAAAAGTATGATCAGATATTAGTGATTTGTACCTAAAACACAGATACACATACACAGAGGCTTTGGAATTGGGTGTGCTTGAATTTGAATCCCAGCCTCACTTTTTACCCTGTGTGTGACTCTGGGCAAGTGGTTTAACCTCTTGGAGCCTCTGTTCTCTCCTCTGTGAAGTAGGAATGATAAACCTATTCACAGGGTTGTATGGAGGGTTTGGTTTGGAGTAGTTTTAAAAATAAATAGTCACTGTTTTTCTCCCCTCTTTTTTGTCCTCAGAACTGAACACTGAAAATCAGTGGCCAGAGTAATGGCCATGAGATACACTAAGATCTGTAGTCAGTAAGAAATAATCAGTTATGCTCAGAAGAGCATCTTGTTCAGAAGAGTCTACTCTGGTGTTCCTATGTAAATGATGAAAATAAAAAAAGCAGTTTATTGTTAATATTGAAATAGAAAGTAATCAGAGACACTATTTTTTGTGTATACTAGATGATAATATTACCTAGTTTGTTTCTTTTTTTAACTGAACATTACTGTGTATGTGAGGTTGCTGTGGCATGTAACTGGTACACATCATCTCCTTTTACCTAAATGGGAAACCCA